CTCTTTTATAATATATATATATATATATATATATATATATATATATATAGGGTTGGGTTCACGTGAGACCAATGATTTTTTGTGAGACCCGTAAGACCAATTTATGTTCATTGATCAACTTGATAAGCTAATGGTCTAAAGTTCACGATGACAATTTTGTAATTATTGAGAAGTCTCATGGCGTTTATGAATGTTCAAATCTGACGATTGTAGATCTAATCCAATGATTGAGAATTGGTCTTACGGGTCTCACGAAAAAGCATTGGTCTCACATAATCTCAAGTCTATATATATATATATATATATATATATATATATATATATGATAGAATTAGGTCATGTTTGCTAAATAACTTGCTTGTTTTTGATAATTGAAATTATATATTACTAAAAGGATACTCGTATAATATATCAAAATATATCTCGATTTTTATATTTCGTTTTATTATTTATCTATGTCGATATAATACGGTTTTTTGTAGTTTGAGAAAACGATAATATTTTTATGTTTATCATGTATTGGATTATATTTATTTGCAGTTAGTTACACGAATTCAAATATGAAGCTTTAATAAACTGTACTTACGCAAAATTACTTATAATCTTGAATTTTAAGTAATATGCATCAATAAACATTATTTTATGCATAAAAAATGATTTTTAAGAATTTTTATCAAATGTTTTATAATATAGTATAGATTTATATTTAATAAAGAATATATGGTAACATAAAATAACAAAAAAAAGAGTGTTACTGTAATAAAATTGGGTTTATAGGACATCTATAATGTCTAACCATTAGAATAACATATTTTGTAAGATTTAAGTTTATAGCATCAAATTATTAAGTGTTGTATCTAAAAGTGTTATAATAGATTTTGATATAATGTTATTGGACGTTTCAACAAATTTTTAGGATGTCTTTAAAATAAATTGACGTATTAACTACTTTATATGACACTTTTGATGAGTGTCGTATAAATTCATCTTTTTTGTAGGATAATGACACTTTTCGAATAGTGTTATATAAAATAATTAATACGACATTTTATTTTAGATGTGTCATATAAATCTTGTTAAGATATCAAAAAGTGTCCTACAAATGTATTATAACACATTTAGATAGGACTTCCTTTTGGTTTTTTTTTTATAAACTTAAGTGCCATAAAGTATTCTATTAGAATATTTAGACATTTTTTGTATCATATACAACAACAAAAAAAGTGAACAAAAAAAGATGCATTAAACTTAATGAGATGCTATATGAAATGGTTTTAAAAAAAGTAAAAATAGCTTATGATCGTAAAATATGACATTAAGATCGTATGTACTTAATTGGCTTAAAAACAAAATGAATTTAATTATGATACAGGGTTTTTTAAGTTAAATATTATTATATTTTGTCGTGAAAATGCAATGTGACATTGCCGTATCAAATTTGATTTTTGGAAGTAATTGTACAATTATTTGATTATCATCAATCTTTTTTTTAAATATATAATATTTACTGAAAGAATACTCGCTTAATACAGCGAGATACAAATCAATTATTATTTTACAAAGATAATAATTAAGTATTTGTTAGAACTCAATGATTATCCCAACTATATTTTAGATTTTTTATATTTAAAATCATAAAATGAGATGTTTATCCTCTATTTTATTATGTTTATCTGCAGTTAGTTACACGAATTCAAACATGAAACTTTAATAAGTTATACTTACACACAATTTACTTGTAATCTTGAATTTTAAGTAATATGCATCAATAAATAGTACTTCATGTATAAAAAATGATTTTTAAGAGAGTTCTTGTCAAATGCTTTATAATATAGTATAGATGTACGGCAAATGCAACAAATAAACTCTCACGCTCTCCTCACTTTTGGTGAGATTTGAACCCTAACATCCTAAAAGGCCAAAGACTACGATACCGCTAGAGCAGAAAACCTTTGGTTAATTATCATCAATCTTAATCGCTTAATTGCAACAAAACTATTTTGAAATAGCACATCCAAACAACTTTGACAAGAGGGTAAAAGAAAGTTGTTTTTTTATGTTATTATTTTTATTGGAGAAATAAATGGTCTTTGTTCAAGTAGTAACAATTTATTTGAGCAAACTTTGAAGCGTAATTGGACTGGGTCGAAGAAACTGGTTATCTATGAATAACTACAGGTACTATACTCGTTTATGTGACTGAGGAATATCTTAAAACAGTTATAAGGCTTTTATAAGTTTAAATTATATATAGCTGTTATTTTCAATGAAGTGTATATAGTAATTAAAAAATATATTTTTAATCTTTGTAATAATAGTATTTTATAATCATATAATCAATTATTAGTTTGATAATTGTACTTGATTACTATTGTATTTGTCAGTCTTATTTTCTAGCTGAAAATAGAACTAGTTTACAGAAAATCAATCGGAAAATAGGGTTAGAGCAATATAAACAAATGTAATGCTACAATGGAAAGAAAGAGAATCCTCTTTGGAATCGAGGCTCGTTTCAAATAATACTGTTTAGTTTTCAGTTGCAACGTTTTTGAAAGAAATTAAAAGTCATGAAGAACATTAGAATTTACAAAATAAACAATTTTAAACAAACTAAACAGAGATAAATGTTAGAAACAATCATAATTGACTCAGTCGTTTAAAATCTCTTGTTTTGGTAAATCATAACTTCAAAAACTCACTACTCTAACTACAAGGGTGGTGTCCGATTGGTTTGAGTTTGAACTCTAAAGGTCAAAAGTGTCTGAAAGTCCCAGATTCGAACCCAAAGAGGAATAAAAATCATCTTATGACCACAGTCAGTGACTCCAAGCTACCCGTGAAGCGGATCGTCGTTCTATGATTGGTTTAAAATTAAATAAAAAAGGATTTAAAATTGGATAGTTTAGTGGAAGAAAATTGAGGAAATAATGCAACTAAATAATTAATAATTATTATATATTTGAAAATTGAATATTAATTAATGATGGAAAATTTTCTACAAATAATTTCTCAACAATATAAAACTTATTTATAATACTATAATGTGGAAGTAACAGGGGCTGGATCACTGTTAGAACTAATGCCACTTGTTCCACCACCACCACCACCACCACCGTCACCATCATCCACCACCGACATGTTTGCCGCCGTCGCGGCGGCGTTAGACGTACTGCCACCGGGTCTTTTTCTCTTCTTCTTCTCATATGGAATCCCCCTAGCCTTAGCTTGACTATCTTTCACCTCCCTCAAATATATCCTCACGGCTCTAGCCCCAAATGGGTTTGACTCAGGTTGGCCGCCGTTTTCCTCGTAAGCCGCTCGGAGCCGACCGATGAGCGCGTCGAGGCTCCCCCAAGCTTGTCTTAGAGGACAGGTACAGGGCGCCGGAGGGTTAGGATAGCCGAAGTAAGGACAGCCGGTGACGTGGACCTTCGTCTTCCCGAACTGATCCAAGTACTTGAGAAACTCGATGACGTGAGCGCCGCTGCAGCGCGCCAGGGCGAGCGGTGGTTTGTGGTTTTTGAGGTACTGCAAGAAGGTGTTCCAGTCACGGCGTTTCTGTGATTCGTAGCGGCTAAGTGGTTGTGTAGCGGTGGCCGGAGATGGAGATGTTGATGATCTTCCGGCGGGTGAGGAATCGAGGGGAGGAGGAGGGGTTTGATCCATGGAAATGGAGGATTGAATGATGGTGGAGAGAGAGAGAGAGAGAGATGGAATGATGGGACGTAATATAGAAAAGTAATATGAATGAATGAAGGCTCCTCCTTCTCAACAGGGGCAAGGACTCGAGAGACTCTTGCCCTTGTAGGATCCACGCTTTTTTTTTTATATTTTCAGGGCCATTTGCATGCTTTTTAACCTCCATTTTAACCCCAATCAATATTTATGCACTTATTTTTCATATATATATATATATATATATATATATTTATATACATATATGCGAAACATCTTATCAGAGGAGACTTAAGATGAAAAACGTAAGAAGGGATCTCATCATTGGATGCACGTTAGGATGAGATGCATTAAGATGCACCAAATCAATCTTCGTATCGAACGTGATTTATGAGTGAGTTTGAGATTAAAGATGATCAATAGTCCAAATCTCTTTTACGCTTCTCACTTTAACTCTCTTTCTCACACGATCATTAGCCTATATATATAATCAAATAGGGCGGGTTCAAAAGAAAACCAATTTTTGGTTGTGAACCGAGGGACAAAGGAGAGCACGACAAGTGTCTCACAACTTCACTGGTTATTCATGATGAGTAAATATATCATTCATAATGAATTTGAATTATTCATCATGAATAATGAATCAATTTAACATGGATCATGATTGTGTATTATTCATCATGAATGGTTCACGAATTTCATGTTCGTTATTCATATTCAATGAATGTCATTACTGAATGTGGACATTGGTGACGTGTTACGCGCTCTCCTTTATCCTCTTATTCACAACCGAAAATTTGTTTTCATTTGAATTTTTCTCTAATCAAATAAACCACCATATGACAAATCAAATACAAATCATACAATCAATCAATTAAGATGTTTATGAAAATGATAAAAGGTTCATTTATTATAATTTGAATATTTATAGAAGATGATTAAAGTTTATTACTTATAATCAACGTTTTATATTGGAAAATAATCAATATATATTATAAAACCAGATATTTGTTAGACTAGATAGACGGTTGTGATTGATTTGTATAATTGATCATATCTCTCTCTCTCTCTCTCTCTCTCTATATATATATATATATATATATATGGGGTTTAAAATACAAAACCAACTAAATGAAATTTGTGTGCACTTATTCCACCCCCCCCTCTCTCTCTATAATTATATATATATATATATATATATATATATATGGGTTTGAATACAAACCATGTCACTTATACAAACTGTAAAAATCGATCAATTATAATATTTATGAAAATGATGAAAGTTTAATTTATTATGATATGGATATTTATTAATTACTATCAATGTTTTATATAATTTGAAGAAACTATTTGTTTATAAATCAAATATTTGTAATGTTTTATAAGAGAATAACTAAATAAATTAGGCTAAAATGTATCAGAATCCAATAAAAAGTTTGTTTTAGTTCGTATTGTTCAATCAATGTAACGAAATTTCAGATATTCCTTATTAACATATCAAAGTTTCATATTTTATTTGTCCATTTTGATTGGTAAACAGTTGCTCGTCTGCTCGTGTAACATTTGATGACTTTGATTCCAAGTTTATCGTTTACTTCATCGCAACCATTTCGTTAACATTTTAGAACATTTTGTAAATGGATATCTATGTCATCAGTTATTACAAGGTTGTAGATTACCGATCAAAATAGAAAGTTCTGAAATTTTATTACAACAGTAAAGTGCGTCATAAGGTGGAGCATGCATTGCGACAAAGTCCAAGTCGTCATGGTAGATTGTGCTGACAAGTTGACCCAGAAAAAGATTAATGTTCATAATATCATGTATAATCAAGTTATACAAGTATTATGTAGACAATATGGGAACTTAGAGGTTGTTTGGTAGTTTTTGAATAATTTGATGTAGAATGATTAAGTGGTCAGAATGATTGAGAGACTCTCATGAAATAGTGCAAAATAAAATATAAATGTTGGGTAATTGTTTACAATGAAGCTAGGGTGTTGAATGGTTAGGGATGCCCAAGATACAAAATCATTCAGATAATTTTTAGAATCATTAAGAAGCAGACTTTTTTTTTTTGCCAAACAAGATTCACCTTTTAATGATTCAAATGCTACCTCTTAATGAACCTATTAAGAGGTAAACAAACAACCCCTTAGAAACATAAGAGGAGTTTGTGTAGGTTGTATGCAAGCGAGAGGACTAAAAAACTATATTAATTTAAGTATTCATGAAACTTACAACATTCGATGTATCTTTATGTATGATATGATGTTTTTAGTTCGACTCAACCTCAATCATATCTTCCTCACCAAGGAGGTCATTCTGATCAAGGGGATCATCCTCGAGCTCAGAGGGAACAGAGGGGACAGGGAGGGAGGGAGGAGGAAGACCCAGGGTTGTAGTTATTGATATTTTCGTATAACTTTCAATAAGGTTCAATTTGATACATTATAATTTAAGATACATGCTTACGATGCTTACATTATTTAGCTTTTGGGTGTGTAGTATGACGCGGTTGTCGAAGTTTCAATGGTTAATTGGATGATGTCGTGTCTATTTAACTGAAGTATTAGGATTGTGGTTGTGATGACCATGATATGATTACGTCTTCACGGTAAAACAAATAAGGATGTCGCACTTAATAATTCTAAACTACTGGGTTCACGTAAAAAGTTAACTCAAATTAATATTTTCATACGAGTGAATTAAATTTGTCCTTTTTAACTAGAAACAATGTCAACGTAGTACTATCATTTGTTTTTTGACAATGGAATATATAGTACATGACTACGTGTTGTGTGAAACATACGTTTGATTTGATGTATAGTTTAATATGAACGTTTGATTATTAATCGATCTAAATTTTTTTATTAAAAACAAAATAAATTTATTTCATGATCAAAAGATATTATCAACTTTATTATTAATCAGCAGAATAAAAATATTTTCCTATTGAAATAATTGATTTATTTTTGGATACATATTTGAATATCATTCATATGTTAATACTATTTCATAGTAATAAAGTTAATTTTTAATGTCATGTTTTGAATCGTTAAGAGATGAATCTTGTTTTGACAAAAAAAAAGTTTGTCTTTTAATGGTTTCTAAACCCTTTGAATGATTTTGTATCTTGAGCCTCATTAACCATTCAACACCCTAATTTCATTCTGAATAATTACCAAACAATTATTTTTTATTTTATACTATATTATAAGAGCCTCTTAATCATTATGTACAAAACCATTAAGTAATTGTCAAACAATCCCTAAACACCTTCAAATGATTATACCTTTGAAAGAAATCATATTTAAAAGAGTAAATTACATTTTTAGTCCCTGTGGCTTGTTGAAATTTTTTATTTTTATCCTCATAGTTTTGAAATTATAATTTTCATTCCTATGACTTATAACTCATTACCTTTTTCGTCCTTATATTTACAATTCATTTCTATTTTAGTCTTTCATATTAAAGTAATGTTTTGAACTCAAGGATGAATAGAAAAATGAATTATAAACCGAAAAATGAAATTGGAAATTTTCAACAAACTATAGGAACGAAAAAACGTAATTTACTCTATTTAAAAAGATTGAACTGCATAAAATATAATGTATTGTTCTGATTTTTATTTCATAAACTTAATTTCACACGTTTTTTTTATATCTATCATAATATGTCTTGGAAAAATTAATAACCTTTTTCAAAACGATATTCATTTAAGAAGCTATAACACGCTCTCCTTTTTTGTTTACAAGTTACAGTATATCTCATTATTGCATAAAATATATAATACATTTTTAACTGGTGTCAATACCTGCAACAATGAAATTTATAGTAAGAGGAAAAATCGCCTTTCATGGCCACGTATTTTTCCGGAATAAGACTTTAAAAGCAAATTTTCCCAAATAAAAAGCAAAGCAAAGTGAATTATCTTTTGTACAACGTCAAATCCCACGTCGTTTGTCAAGGGAATTAAAGTAGCTTTACAAGGGACTTGACACCCTCTCAATCAGACATGTTTTTAAATCGTGAGTACAGTTGTGGACAATACAAACAATATCTAGAATTGTTGGTCTGAGATGTTACAGATGGTATCAGAGTCAAAAACCGGATTGGTGTGTCAAGGAGGGCGTTGGATCCCAAGGGAGGTACATCTGTTAGGGACTGGATACTTAGTCTAAAACCGTGAGTCCAAGTATGAACAAAACAGACAATATATGATACGATTTGTCTGAAATGTTACATCAATTAGTTTTATTTAAAATAAAAAGTAAATTTAAACGGCAATTATTTGTTATTTTTATTTCAAGAGCATGATTAAAAGAGAATCAAAGTTATAATTATTGAGTTGTAATTATTTATTATAATCATCATTGAGAGTAGAATCTATAAAAATAAATAAAATAAACAAACACAATGAATTCTTAGGGGTCGTTTATCAAACCCTTACCTGGGTAAGTGTTTACGCAAAAATTCAACATTATCACTTACTTAGCGGGTAAGATTTTGGTCCACCAAAATGGTATTATATGCAACAATTTATTCGGTAAGCGCTAACCGTGATAAGATTCTTGGTATTTGTCAAATGCATTCGGTAAGGTGATATGACTTGATAAGCGCTTACCCATATAAGTGTTTATTAAAGCATCCCTTAGATTCTCCCCCTAAATTATTTCTAATTTGATCAAAGGTATTTTTTTTATTCTATCAATCTCATAAAAAATGGTTTATCTTCGATCGTCTTTCATATATCAGAAGAAAAAAACATGACGATGATAAGGAATCAGACGATGATATGGAACATGGACGAGGATGATGAAAATGGTACAAACATAAACATCGTTAAAAATAAATAAGTTAGAACCATTGTCATCAACTAATTATTACAAATACATTTAAAGAACGTCACAACCGTTTAGTGTCCCTAAAAACACAAAATTGATTGAAAACATTTTCGATAAGAAGGGTAATGGGACTTCCAAATGTGTCCTCATAAACCATTAACGGGTGGACATGAACGATCGAAGAATAATTTTAGATGTAGCGTTTTGGTTTATATTTTGTTTATAAAAATATAATTTATTAGGTTTTATAATTAAAATATTTTTTAATAATAAAATTTAGAAGTCATTTACTAAACACTTATCCAGTAAATGTTTATCGGGTCACTTTACCTTACTGGATGAACATGACGAGGACCAAGATTCTTACTTAGTATAAACAATGACAAGAGTTGAGAGTCTTACCCGTCAAGTGAGGGTGACAAATCTTATCCGGTTAGTGCTTATCAGATAAATTGTTGTATGCGAGTTTATTTTAATGTATTAGAATCTTATCCGTTAAGGTAAATAGGAATATTAACTTTAGCAATAAACGTTTACTGGATAAATGTTTATGTAAATGGTTTCTTAGGGTCCGTTTGATTTGTATGATTGTTTTTTAGAGATTTGGATTATATAGAGGGATTTGAAATCATTGGTGTGTTTGGTTTGTAGGATTTGGAATGAAATTGGATTTCATTATTTATAAGTAATTTGTAGAAATAATTATAAAAATAATTGAGTTACATTTTTATTAATCAATTATTACAAAACAAATGTTTTTAACATTTTTTAAAACCTTATTGCATACAATCCCGTGAAATCCCGAGCACTCCGTAAGGATTTCAAAATTCTATGTTTAAAGGATTTCGATTAAATCCTAAAATTTCAAATCCAAACAATCCAACAAACCAAACATGAGATTGAAATGGATTTAAAATACAAATCTCACCAAATTCATTCCGTTCCTTCAAACAGACCAAAGCTGCTAGGAAATGAAAAGGACTAGAAATGAGATATTGGAGTCTTAAGGGGCACCACTTTCTTTTTATTGTGGGGCTAGTTGTGTTAGTGAATGCCCAAAAACCAATCATATGATGATTGTAACTTTGAGTTTGTTTCATGAAATTGATAAATATAAAGGCATTGCCCATTTTATTATGT